AAAAAAAGCGTTGTTGGCAAACCTCAAGCGTGAGCGAGTATCCTTCACGCACGGCCACTCGTGGTAGCTTGTAAAAGCGCTCGTCGCGATGAAATACTCTTGCTTTTGCTTCGATTCGAAATCGAATCGGTTCGCCAGCCTCAGCTAAGATGACATCAGCGGCTACCGTCAGGAACACGCGTGAATCTGAACAGCCTCTGGATTTTTGCCAAGAAAAGCTGTATCAGAGTGAGATGTTGAAAGATAGAACATGTTCTGTGGAGTGGAGGAAGCTAGATTATACCTCTGGGCGTTTCAGTATTCAACACGTCAAATATATGTACGCGGGGATCCCAGATGGCGTTTATCACATAAACAGATGGATTGGCGCCTAAAGATAAACGTTCTCGAAGCAGGAAAACGGTTAAATGGCAAAGCAGGTGTCTTCAAGAGCCCGTACCCGGACCCATGCTTTCAAGCTCGAGTAATTGCATGTCACTATGTCGTAAATTTCGACCAGCTGCCAGCAGCATCCCGAAACATTTCGTGACTGTGAGAGGTGGACCGGAAACCTGAAAAGAACATTGCTTGCTTGCAAAAAGGATCGTAGCCAATACACACCTGCTTGAGCTGAACTATGAGCCTCTTCGGACGATCTCTTCGCAGCTTCAATGTGTTACTTTGCTGTGGGCACAGGACCCAGTGAGGAGATGAGTGTGATCCCTCGTTTTCCTAAACATAAAATTCGTTCTCTAAACATCATTATGAATTTTATATGCAATATAAAACTTCAAAAGAAAAATCTGCATCAACTCTGTAGATATTTGGGATCAATTTAAACTTCTTGACATATACGGTAAGTTCCGAACAAGTGGAAACCCTCTAAACGCATCAACTACGTGAAAATTTCGCGAATGCGCGTATCTTCTTCGACAAAAAGGAGCTTGAAGGTAAGACCACAAGACACGAAATAGGAAAGCTTGCAATGTGTGCCGCTGCATAAAGTGAGATATATGATTTGAAGTACATCTGGAGGTCGTCAGTTGAGAGAGGAGTAAAGATAAAATTTGCCGAAAGTTGCACCCAAAAAATGTTTCAGCAAAAAATGTTTCAGCTCACACTTTAGGTCGGGATATAAGTCTTGCACCAAGATAGGTATAAAATCGCATAATTCATACTTCTCCCAAAGAAAAGGTTCAATATATCGTTTGATAGATCAAAGCTGACCTTACAGGACAATTAATTGGCACAATTGTAATCTACGCGAAATTTTCGGCAAAA